GTGCCCAGGAACCTGCTGGGCAGCAGGCTCAGCAGGGCGCTCAACAGCAGAAGCCCCAAGTTCCATCAGCTCTCGGAGCCTTCAGGAGCTCCTTCCCTTTGCACCCAGGCCAGTGTGGGAGCCCTGCCCGCAGCTCGGACAGCTCCAAATGCTGCTCCTCTCCCTCGGGATGCTCAAGATGCTTGGAGCGGCTCAGACGCAACTCATTGGGGTTGCTGTCCTGCGGGCAGCGGCACCCACAGCCACACGGATCAGATGGATGCTGAGCCCCAAGAATGTACCCTGCACAGTAAGCGGGGCCCTGGGCTGGCGGGATAAACCCCGGCACCTTTGTCAGCAGAAAGGAGAAACAGAGGAGGAGGAGGAGAAGGAGAAGGAGGAGAAGGAGGAAGGGCCGGGGCCCTGAGGCACCAACAGCTCCGGGGCGCCCAGAGCTCAGCTCTGCAGGGCACGTGGCTCAGCACAGCAGCCTCCCGCACCCATCAATAAACATTTACAGTTCAATCAGCTATGCCCCTTCACAGGGCAAATCAATAGCATCTCATTGGGAGAAAATGAGATAAACTGCAGCCTTAATAGTGCTCCATTTTCCTGCAGATAGGAATCCCAATCTGGGCCTGCCTCCCAGATGCAGGAAGAAAATGCCCTTAATTAAAAGGCATGCTCTGAGGTTGCTCCATTCTCTGCAGTGCTGTTTAATCCCATTTCCTGTCCTGACCTGCTCAATGAAACTGAGAACGAACAGACCCAGATTAGCTGAGGTTCAGACCTGGGAAGAAAACCCAAACAGCGTTATGGTCTGTGAGGCAGAACCCAGTGTTCACTCCCAGGCTCCAGGCCTGATTTTGTCATGCATCTGCCGGGCTTCTCTGGGCAAGCTCGCTCTCCTCTCTGTCTGCATCTATACCCCGAGGCTCATTTGCTCAGCCATCCTCCTCAAGCATTTTGGAAGGCGCAGACCGGGCGCACATGCCTGCACACACAACAGCAGCTAACAAGCACCTTCACCCCCATCACCTTGGGATCTGCAGCGAGGAGCCACGAGGAGCAGCAGACTGCATAGCAGCACGCGCAGCATCCAGGGGCCGGCTCGCTTGCACAATTCCTGCTATCCGGCATGTTCCCACCAGACCCACGCACACGATCCGGGCAGGCAGCACCAGAACTCCCACGGGTCCGACATCTGCTTTCAAACAGCTGCTTGTTTTCCAGAGTGAGGTAATCCAGCTCCACGCTGATGCTCTCTCCCAGTCAGTTTCTTCAGGGCAAGAGCCACAAAAATCAGGATTTAGTTTTAATTAGTTCCCTGTATTTTTGTCTGCCTACACAGGACTAGTTTCACTTAGGAAGAAGCAATCCTGTCTTTCCCAGCTTTCTACACGTGGAGACAGCAGCCCGCAGCGCCAGGCAGGTTCCGCAGGAGGCAGTGGCTCTGGCTGTGCTGGCACTGCAGCCTGCCCTGCCAAAGCCTGGCCAGCTCTTTGGCACAAACCCATCTTCTCCTTCCTTCCCGGTTATTTGCTTATTCTCCTGCTAGGCTGACGCCCTGAAGGAGCTGGGAGGCTGAATGGATGGGAAGCAGAGTCCCTGCCCTGCAGTGCTCCCAGCGACACGCAGCCCTCACCTGCTCCGGAGGAGGACGGGCCGGGGCAGCTCCGGGAGGGCTGCGCGCTGTTCCTGGCATGGCGCAGGGAGCTCAGCTGCTGTGGGCCGGGCGGCTCCGGACCGGTGGGACATCCCAACGTCAGGACGGGCCGGGAGCCACGTCGGCTCCTCTGTTCCTGCAGTGCTTCACAGGCCAAGGTTAAGGCCAGGGCCTTGGAGCGCAGCCCCACATGGGCACCCGGAGCACGGTCCCACGGGCACCCCGAGCACGGCCGCGTGGGCACTCCAAACGTGGCCCCGCGGGCACTCTGAGCCCAGTCCTGCGCCACCGGGCCCGGCACTGGGGTCAGCGGAAAGGGGCAGGAGCAGCGCGGCAGGCAGCAGGGAGGGTGGTTTAATGAAGTCGTCCAGGGTGCTCAAACCGCCGAGGGATTAAAGAAAGGAAAGGATAGGATCTTCCACAAGAACTCAGTCATTAGCAAGGCCAGAGGGTAGATGCAATTGTTTTCTGTTTTTTTTCCCTCTCTTTGATGACCTAGTTTTTTTAATCTCATCAGCACCAAGCTACAGTGTTAATTTTTAAATATGCTTGGGTAACTGAGAACATTAACTATTCATGATCTTATCTTCAATAGCTGTTGGTTCTCTGTCGCTGTGCCAGGGTTGAGATGTACATAATGAAGCGGGCAGCTCTCAACTTTCCAGGGAAGGTGACAGCTGGTTTTTCCTGTGCGTCCTGTTGAAAGGATCACGGAACGGGCCGGGGTGGTTCCTGACACTCGTGCTCCCAGGGGAAGCAACGCTTGGGGGGCAGACTCCCATCACGGAGCTCATCCTTCTGCATTTATGGAAGCCTGGGAATGCTGAGTGCCTCAAAACCCTGGCACGCGGGGGACGCTGCAGGCAGACTGCAGGAAGAACCCTCGTCGTGCTGCAGTCCCGTTCCTCCAGGAAGCCTTCAAGCACTATGTGAACAGCAAACAAGGCCCCCGCGCTGCCCAGGAGCAGAGGGGCAGACGTGGTGTCCACCTCACAGTCCGGCACATCCCCAGGGCCACGCGTTAGCACCAAGAGAAGCCCTCTCCTTCGGAAACACCAGCCCATGCGCTGAAGCTGCACACAGACAGCCACACAGGTCACAGCTCTTCACCCGCAGCCGTCAGCGCTTTCGGACCTCCAACTCGAAACACAAGGGTGGCAGCGCGGGGCCACGGCACGAGACACTGGGTGACAGCAGCCGCTGGCGGCCCCAGCACCGCGCTAGGGGCCTCGCTGCGCCGGCCCCATGGCCACGCTGCAGCCCTGTGCTCGTGGGCGCTGGTGCACCACGCGTGGCGCTCCTTTCAGCCCGGCCCGCATGAGACAAACGCGTGATTAAACACCAGAGCACGAAGCAGCGCGAGAGCAGGCGGCAGCACAAGGAACAGGACACCCACCGTGGCTCCGAGACGCCCGGACATCACTGGGAACACAGCAGCATAGCTGCTGGCTGGAGTCAACAGCGCCTTGGTAAAAGCACATCCATATTTTCAGAATACAGGAAATTTACAACTAGAAATTTTTAAATAAGAATGTTTGATAGCAAAGGCTATTTTAAGAAAAGCTTTAGTTTTGAGAGTAATTTGGATGCAGATGGGTCCAACTGACAGAAGAGCTGACACCCTTCTTATTGCTGCAGGCAGCAGACGTGTCGGGTGGCGCACACGGCATGAGAGGCAGCAACCGCCAGGCTGCAAGCAAGCCCACATCCTAGCGGCAAATCCGGACCCTGCCTTCGGAAACTCACTGCAATACTGCAAGTAAACATGTTTAAATAGGACACTTCTCTTAGAGATATCCAGAAGATTAGAGTGACGAATTGCAAGCTAAAAGCTCAGATACATTAAGCACTAAGTTCTCCTAAGAAAAACGTTATTCGGAGAAGCCAGCCACCTTGCCCAATTGTTTGCTTGGATGTGTAAATCTTATCTGATATTAGATAGGGCTAAAGTGACTTGACTCTGTTTTTTCAGTAACGGAGAGTGGTTGCACAATTTCATTCAAGTGTTGGCCCTCTCCACGGGTTACTCTGGAGTGATTACACACCCAAGCTTCTCTTCAAACAGTTTTGATTCCTCATATTAACTGTTTTCTCACAATTAGACAAAAAAAAAAAAAAAAAAAAGGACCATCTTAAAAATGTCTGCAGCAGCTTATTCCAGAACATATCTTCTTTCAAGAGGCAAAGTGGTTTTGAATTAGAATCACAGAGTCATTATGGTTGGAAAGGACCTTTAAGATCGAGTCCAACCATAAAGCCCCTCAACATCATGCTAAACCACGGCCCTGAATCATGTGCGTGAGTGATACAGAAGTCCAGACTTGTAAATACCAAGAGCAGCTGGGGTCTGGACAGGGAGAGCTGCCCTACCTGGGCCCGTGGAGGCTGTCACCACGCATGCCAGCATGTGAAGAGCAGCAGCTGCTCCTTCGGCACCGGCCTGAGCAGGGCTTATGCAGTAAAACTTGGTCCCTTCTTCTCTCCTCGCTCCTCTCCACAAAGATGCCTGGAGCACAGGTCTGTGTCAGCCGCTTGGCACTGTTATCTGACTGCCTCACTCTCCTGCTCTGCCTCTGCAAAAGGGGCACACACTCAGTCACACAGACAGCTATTGATTTGTTACCACCTACAGAAGTTAATTCATGAGCCAGGCTAAGTACTAAGTGTTCTTCCAATAATTTAAGTGAAGAATATTTATAATATTTATGCTGAAAGTCCGAATCCCACCTTAAAGTGTTTACTGAGTTCACAGCACTTTTCTCCTGTAACAAATAAAAATCACAGAAGGAAAGTGAAACCTTAAGCTGTAAGCTAACAAAGTTGCACTGGATGTTCAATGTATATAGCATTTTATTGAATGAAGGTATATTACAATAGACAAACATATGTTACACACGCTATACAAAATATACATTCTTATGTGAAAAAAATATAAATAGACACTAGGAAATAGCAACAGGGATCAAGGACAGCTTTGCTCACACTGTCTTACAAACCCCCCGTTTTTGTACTGTTATTACTTTGGCATTGATTGAAGAAACTGTCCATATTCATTGAAAACAGAATGGCCACTCTGCTGTTTGCATCTCTTGGGAGAAAGGAGAGGGTTTTTTTTTTTTTGGCAAGTTTGCCTAGGACGTTTTTCCACAATGTTAATTAGGCACAGCAAGCTGCTCACCCACTTACAAGCTTTCAACTATTTACAACCAGCTTACAGACTTTAAAGAAACTCCATTGCTTATGTAAGGATGCAAATGTCCTAATTCATGAAGGCTGCTTCTGGAGGCCAGTATCTCACTGCAAAAGCGCAACTCCAGTTCCTAAACACCTCTGCCTCCTGCTCGTCCTGGTGCAGACAGCATTAACACCACAGTTTGGTCCTAGCCAAGCACATCTTACCTACCTAAGGTGAACCTGATCATACTAGAAGGTGCCTGAAGTACACGAAAGGTCTGGATGTTCCCATGTACTTCCACATCAATGGAGTCTTCTGACACTTGGGAAATCCACGTTAGCTCTACTCCACAAAACAGAGAGAAGGAAGTAAAAAATGAAGTAACCAGCATTTGTCAAACAGTGAAGGGAGACAAAGCAGCAGCAGGGTGGATGCTACTCCTCTGCTGGCAGGAAATCATGGCTCTGCACACGCCAAAGTGCAACTCTGCCACGTTACCCTATATGAATATTTGAACAAAGCAGCAAGTAGCCCAGAAGGAGGAGATTTTTTCTGCTGCTGCTGTTTCATAACCTGACATTTCTCACCCAAATATAAACTCTGATAGTGGCAGGTTCCAGCAACAGAGGTAAGTTTGTGAAATAAGTACTATGTCTTTGATGCGGTCTGGAAAAAGGCCTGGAGGAAATAAATACAGAAAAGAACTTGAGTCTTCTTTTAGCATGCATGTTACATCCAATGCCTGAAAATATTTCAGATGTCAAAGCCAAAGAGTTTCACACACCGACATTTCTCTCCACTTTCTCCAAAGGTCAAGGACAATTCTGAATCCTCTTTCTGCTAAAGGTGCTGGCTATCAAATGGTTGCTTTGAGAGCATGGCAAAATCTGTGCTCATTTCTCTGCATCTGATTATTATCCATGCCCAAATAATGTGAAAATAATTATTACCACCTTCTTCCTCACTCACTCAACTAATCCACAGACTCAAAAACTTCAGCTGCAATTGTGCAATCACAGCCCCTCCCATGTAGGAATGGGCTAAAAGGGAATCTTATACAGATCTTTCAGGCTGATCCAAAATCCTTTCTCTGTCTTTATAAAAGTCCCCAATGCAGCAGGACACAGCAGATATTCTATGGTTTGAGGAGGTGTGGGGTTTGCAAGAAGGACTAGGGAAGAAGCCCTTGCTCTTCAGGAATGTGGGTTTGGACAGCTACAGCATAACCCTGAGAGCACCCCAGCTCCAGGTGCCTTGCTGCAGAGCCAGCACTGACTAGACCATTAGCACCCCTGCACAGGTACCTTTGTGCAGGGACGAGGACCTGCCTGCCACATCCAGGACGTTCCTCCTCCTCGCTGCCAGGCGCTCCCCACTGCGGGTACTGAAGCTGCCGTGCCTGCTACTGCCTCTCAGCTAGCACTGCATTTTCGGTACAGAGCATCCTTGCCCTGTGTCGTTTTATTTCTCACTCGTCAAATATTTTTTAACGTTTTAGTCACTATGAGGTCGAGGGAACTATTAGAGAGGTCAACGGGGTAAGAACTTTCTTTATACTTTACGACAGAAAAAAGCATAAGCTTTTAAAACTACCTTTTCCTCTTGGCTCTGCAGAGGAAACAGAAAATCCATATAGTGAAGTGCACCGACTATTGATCAAATGCTCCTCCAAGCCACCCAACGCTTTTCATCATGACATTCTTTTAAGTTTGCTGATAAACTGTCAGTCATGAAAAATAGGGACCTCTCTGCAATGCAGAGTACACACTCTATTTACACAATATGAGAGCCTTTTAAAGATAAAAGCTTAGATAACTTTTGAAACATGAGCAGCTCAGAACTTACACTGCCTTCTTGCAGATATTTAACAGCTGGGCAGAAAGAGACATCATTTTGTGCACTAGTCCTGTGCTCACTATTTACAGGAAGGCCTGGGAGTCCCCAGGGGCAAATACAGCCTAGCTTAAGGCAGATCTGTTGGGCATTATACTTTATTGGAAAAGAAGGGGCCTAATAGACAGATTCAAGGATTCTCTCCACACGTAATGGCCAGGCTTGGAATTCTGCTAAGGTAATGAAATGGATCAGCTTGCAGTCAGATCAGCCATGCTTAATGCATACAGAATTGTATGTAACAATGAAATTCAGCAATATCACAGTTTCACCACATACCCACAGCGTGTCCACTTCTTTCCGAAGTGAACAAACAATCAAAAAAAGCAAAACGAACAAACAGCTCTATCCCCTCAGAAACAAGCTCTCAATCCCTCAACCTCCACCAGAAACTATGGTTTGATATGCAGCTGCTGAGACTAACAGTATGATACATACTTTGGCATAATAGAAAATATATTTACATTACAGCCAACACATTTATATGCTTAGTGTATACAAAATATTTATAAATGCAAATTTATTTACAACTAGAGTCCATTACTCATAGGAGAAAACAACCCAAAGTTAGACTGATAACAGCCTCCTGCCAACAGTCTAAAGAACGAAAAGCCGGCCAAGAGTCTTATGCTCACAATTACTGGGGAATTCCACGAGGAGGCCCTGAACATTTGTTTTCAAGCAGACAATGCAGCGTGAAATAGCTAGGCATTCTTGAGAGATTTTCAAAGCATGCACTAACACAAAGGCTGTTTCCAACATCAGAAAAATCATGTTTTAAGCTATTGATGTGGATATCACTATTATGTGCGCTGTTGCACATTCCCATTTTCCAATGCACATGAATCCAAGGAAAAAGGGCATGTACCACCTCCTCCTAGGGAGTCTGTCTTGGTTTAGTCAGCCCGTAATTGCAGACGTGTACGAAAGCATCTTTGGCCTTAGGGTTAGTCCTGAGGTAGTAAATACAAAAAGTCACTTTGGAGGGAGCTGCTTCCAAGACTTCATTTTAGTGCCTTATGTGGTTTCACTATGGTCCTGAATGTTCCGTGTCCTATTAAAATCAAAGTTATGTTCACGTAACCTGTGGCAAGGTCTGGGTGAAGCAGCTTGTTCCCGGCCACCGTCGCCAACGCCCTCGCTTCGGAGAGGCCGAGGGGTCTCACGGGCCGACTGCTGGTGCAGAAAGTGCGAATGAGACAGCCCTAGGTCCTTGTTCACTCCCCATACAGGAACCTGAAAAGGTTCTGTGGAAGAAAAATTAAAAGATGAGCAGAAATCCATGATAAATACACCCAAATTATAGGCAGATTTGAGTCATGTGTCTTAACAATAATCATCTTTGGGAGGTTTTCTGCTACTGGATGCCCTCCCATTTCAGCAATCTGCTGCAGTAACCAGAAACAACATACTCAGTTTCAATGTGTGCTTTTTTTTAAAGGCTACCTGGAAGAAAGTCAACGTGAAAACATTCAGTTGATGAAATAAATAAATAAATTTTTTGGAGCTCTTTGAAACCCAGTCCAGCTCAAACACAAAAGTGCTATTTGGATTTCCTATGTGCAGCTTTAAATCTTGGCAAAGGATGTCCTTGAAGTACATGCAAGAGATCGTGTTTCACGAGCTTCAAGAGACAAGCTGCTGGTTAAGAAGGGCTACTGCTCTCCTGGGCTCTGGGAGAACTGGGTGCAGACTGCAGGAGCACCGCTTCTGCAAACACCTGGTTAATAAGCACATGAGGTTATTCCTCACACTAGGGCAACTTGACAAATTAACTGTGCACCAACACAGAACGGCACAACGAGGAAGGCCGGAGCTATTGGATAATAGAAACAAACAAACAAAAAGAAGAAGGACCCACTCACCATTCACCTGCTGCGAAGAGATTTTCTTCTCACTTATTCTGTCGTGGTTGGTGAGGAAGACAGACACGTCCCTGTCTGCCATAAGATTCTCGAGCGCGCTGGTGTCGTGCTGGCTGCGCGCTGCGTACGCTTCCTTGGGTATCTGCACCATGAGATTCGAGAGCGTTTGATCAAGAGCGTCCTCTTCTGTGATGTAGGCATAGGGACAGTATTCCCGCGTCCTGGAGTAGATGTTTGCATTGTCATAGCAGTCTGAGCAGATCACCAGCGGTGCTGTGCCACCTGCAAAACACAACCAGAAAACTTCAAAAAATGACATTCTCTCAGAGCGAGGGAGGACCCTCCATCTCCACCAGTTCACAGTTCCAGCAGGCCCAGCTAGCTCTAGCACGAGGCTGAAAAGCCGTGAGTTCCCCCTGTACCAGCCAAAGCAGGAGCAGCTACACTTGCCCTCTGCAATCCGGCACCTCAGAAAATCACGATTGGGTTCATGATGGAACCGGTAACAATTCACTCATGAGACGAGCTGTTCCCCCAGCCCTTTTGCTCACAGACTTTTGGTAGTAGGACTATGGACAGGAGGGACTGGATCATGGGATACATGAAAAAGATTGTACTGAAGGATTGCTTTTCAAAGGCAGCCTATGGATCAGATGGCTCCTCAGCATTTCAATGGAAAAAAAAAATTTCTATGGACTCAATGCTAAAAATACTGAAATCTCTATAGACTCGATGCTAAAAATACTATGAAAATAAGTCTCTAAACAAGGTAGAGAAATGGTATAACCTTTGGGTTATGTTTGTAACAGGCAAACTAGATGCCTGGTTGGGGAAGGAATTTTATCTTACAAGCAAAAGATTAAACAAATCATCTCCCAAGTGAATGTACCTTCCCACCTCCGTTCCAGAAGCTTTTGAAATGCTAAAGCAGCAGCATAACAAAAATCTACCTTGACACTTAACCTAGGAATTCTCTGCCAGCACCACCGCCTTGCTGACTAGATCACATGTCCTGAAGAGAAGAATCTCTGCAGGGATCTGTGCTATTTGGGACTCAAGAATTGCAGTCACATCTATATTCAACGGCACTCAAAGTAAATGTGAACCCAGATGCTGCTGGACCAAAGATTAAATTGCATGCATGGAATGCAAAAGCCTTAAGAATATAAACAAACCCAAGGAAAATCAAGAGATGCCTTTTAAGCCCACGGCAGTGAATGGAAATCTCAGAAAGAACTCTCTTTTTTCCAGAAAGAGTCACCTTTGATGTTCAGGCAGCAGTGCCCTGTACTGTGCAGCACTGCTGCCAGCGAGGAGGAGCAGGGGATGCGCTGGCCCCCCACCACGCGGGCGGGAGCACGAGAGCCCCACTTACCGTCTGTGCCTTTATGCACGTAGCCACCAGCCGGGGGCATGAGCTGCTGGTGGCTCCCTGCCTCCGAGTTACTGTAGCCCTCCTGGGGCTCCGACAGCGTGCCTTGCGAGGATAAGTAGCTGGGAATGTCTGCAGGCAGGTTCATCTCCTCTGCAAAGCAGAATTAGCACTGATGACACTAACAGATAAGCGTCAAGATCCCAAGGCACCACCAACTATCACCTGCATTAACACGAGTGCAATATAGAAATTCTGCTCACACATTCCTGCCTTTTCGCTACCTCTGAGATTAAAAATCCATATAACTAGCTCTAGACTAACAGTGCCAGAGCAGACATTTATGTACTTTATTCCAGGCCCTTTAAATATTTTGAAGTTAATTTAAATACTTATTCCCAAGCTTGTCTTTTTTCCCTTAATGTAAAATAAATCTAGCGTTTAAGGAATAAATACATAATTAATATGTAAAGTCTCTAAACTTGCCTTTTTCCCCAACAAATAAAATAATTAGAGCAAATCCCTGAAGACACTTGAGAAGGAAAAATGTCACTCCCCCTCAATGTTTGCCAATTTCAAGGAATCCAGAGATTTCATCATTCTAACAAGCGTTTCAAGTTTTAAAGAAGAGCACTAAAGGATGTTACTATTGAAATCCACCTGTGTTAGTGATGCTGTAATCCTCACTCTTCCTCCTCATGTGGTAGATCACAATAACCCACACGAGGGACGTTCCCACGACGCAGCACACCACAACGATGATCACGATGCCGACCGTCGTCCAGCCGTCTTCCTCGTGGATGATGCCGCTCTGGGAAGAATCGCAGTTCGGGGAGGCCAGGACGTGCAGGTAGATGTGGCCACGCTCGGTGCCCAAGGTGTTGGACATGATGCACGTGTACTTCCCGGCGTCCTCCAGGCCAGCATCCACAATGATCAGGAGCTGATTAGCGGCGGCGAAGAAGTGCCGCTCCGTCACCATCAAAGGGCCGTCGTCTTTAGTCCAGTTGAGGCGCGGGGCGGGACTGCCACCGGCGATGCACTGCAGCACGGCCGTTTCCCCCCTGCTCACCGTCCTGTCCTCCAGCGGCCGCACGAACGAGGGAGTTTCTGACAGCGCGGAAGGAAAACAGAGAACAGCTGTAAGATAACAGCAGAGTGCAGCAACACTGTGCACTCCATGGCATGTAAAAACCTGAGTCACTGTTCAAAGAAATCTTGTCAAGTGTGGCCTTCAAATCCCCCCCAAACCGTGCAAAGCAGCTGCTACTTTGCTGCTCCAGAGAGCACCTGACATCCGTTATTCCTTGGAGGGGAATTTATCCTTTATTCCTGGAGGCTGCAAAGGAGAAACCCTGGAGGGAGAGAGAAAAAAAAAAAAAAATCTCTTCTCATGTTCCTTAACGCTGAATATCTTCAGTCAGGGAAGAGGACACTACGCTCTTTTTATTTTAATTTCATTCTGCAGGACTTAGCCTGCTACTTATAGATAAGCTCCTCTACCAGTGCAGAAGCGAAATGATCCATTTAAGCAAAGACAAACACACCACTTACCTAACACAGTCAGCGTGGCGTTTGCTGACAAACCTCCCGCGCTGTTTTCCGCCATGCAGCTGTAGATGCCCATGTCTTCTATTTTCACGTTTGCGATGAAGAACACGTCATCCTCAGGCATGACGTGCATCCTCCTCTCTCGTGCGGCGGGGAAGTCGGTGCCCCCATCTTTCTGCCAGGAGATCTGGGGCGTAGGGTGGCCCTCTGCGGCGCACTCCAGCCGGGCCATGGCCCCCGTGCGGATAGTGAGATCCATGGGGGTTTTCAGGAAGGAAGGCAGCTCTGGATCAAAGCAGACATTAGGGTATCGATATTTTCAGTACTGAGGAGAAAGCAACAAGAGCTCCCTAATACTGAAGGTGCCTGCAGGGAAGCCAGAGAGATACACACCTGTGGTCTTCCTGGTGAAGGGAGACACTTCCAAAGAGCTGCACAAGCTCTCAGTGGCCATTTCTAATAGCCTAGCCTCCAAACTGAAATATACCCACAGAATTCCTTTAAAATGATCTAATGGACAAACTCTCTTGTGGTTAGAAGAGAGGGGTAACTTTCTGAAGTTCCTCATCACACTTTACCTTCTGTTTCATAGGGGAAGGAAAGTTTCACCCCTGCAGCTAAAAGGGGTGTTCTTAACAAGCAAAAGCACCACTAGCACTTTTGTCCTCAGATACAATGGGGAGAGTGAGTGGTTCAGCCATCTATCAACTGATATGAACTTTATCTTCTCATCTCCCTGCTCTAAAGTCAGGATAATAGGAATTCTTCATTACTGGCTAAAGACCAAGGACCTCATAATCAATTCTTTTGAAGTTGCTTCCCATTTCGTAATTGTTTCTAAGCCAACTCTTCCCTAGCTGTGCCAGCATACAGGGAAAGTGCCTCCTCCTGATGAGACAGCAGAGGGAGCTTTTAGTTTAAAAGACCTATGACTCTATTCAAATAGATAAAAAGCTACCTGAGTTATAATGAAAATATGGGAAATATTTGCCCCTTTTCAAAGTAAAGAAGGCTTTTCACCACCCCACTGCCCAAAAAATAATCACTTATAAATTTGTCGGATACTTTTAAATAGCAGTGATGCACATTCTTGCAAGAGTATAGTTTGGACCAGTTGGGAACTAAGAAATCTGAGTAGATTTTAGAAAACAAAATGAAAAACAGATTTGTAGCTATTTAAATAAAGATTTAGGTTAAGTGGGTTGCTTCTTTGTTTCTGTTATTGCTTACCATTAACTGTCAGTTTAGCTTTGCTGGAATAATTGGAGCCAAAGTGGTTGGTGACGATGCACTGGTATTTTCCTTCATCAGTGAAATTCACGTTGAAGAGATGCAGGACGGTGGTATACTCAACCACCTCATCACTTTGCTGCTGATACCTGGCAAAATTCTCAACCTCTGCATCATACAGCACTTCACTGTCCTTACGCCAGGCCGTGGACATGGGTGAATCACTGCTGCTCACAGCAGTGCAAGTCAGGGTGATGTTCATGCCTCGCAGAGCAATCGTGCTCTCAGGATGTACTCTTATCTGCGGCTTAGGGAAGTTATCTGGAAACAAAAGCATCAAGATTAGCTACTTTGCTTTTCAAAATGCAGTTAGTTTTGCAAGAAGAGACCACGAAACACAGGAGGTAGAACACAAGCTGTGGGAACAAATATCCTGCTTGGGGTGCATATATTCAGCTATTTTCTGTTGGATATCAAGCTGTGAAAGAAGATTAAAGCCATAAGTAGGAGTACAGAACAAGCACTGAGAACAGTCCATGTAAAAGCATGGTCTTGAGCAGTACCTCCTTTTCTACAGCTGTCCAGATGCTGCTACATTAACACTATTCACACAGGCCACTTCTGGACAAAGAGGTAGCAGTACTTTATGAAGGGCGGGCTTTTTGGAAGTGGTATTTTTCATATAGCTAAAGTCTTATCTTCAGAAAATTTAAAGCTCACCAAGCAAAAAGCATAGCAAGGGAGCAGTTCACACTACCTTTTCCCAGCTCAGAGTTATTTAAACATCTATCATTTCAGCGAAGACATTCCTGTGAGCACACGTATACGGTTTGGTGTCAGGCACCAGGGCAGTAACACAGGAATGGGGAAGTGGCTGCTTGCATGGCTGCTGAACTAAGTGTCAGAAGTGTTAGAAAGCTTCTAAAATAAAGCAAAATGCCAAAACACATGCGCTACGGCCAAAACCAAGCACATTCAGCAGTGCTACAGGCTGGTTTCAGAAAGTTATCTGTAGATATTTGTGTTACTATGTTTTTATATCAAAATGATTAAAAATACGAACCACAGACAAAGTCACCAGGGTCCACGCTGAGAAGGCTTTGTCCCGCTAGCCATGCGGGGTGAGCACAGCTAACATTCACAGCCTGCTGCAAGTGCTTCTCAGCGAGCCACTGAGGCAGCCACTTCAGCTGGCAATCGCAAAGCAAGCTGCTGGTGTTCAGAATCCTGCAGAAACAAGGCAAGACCAGAGGGATTCAAGTTTATTTCACACTCCTACATGTGATTTCATATACCAGAAAAGACATTAAAAGCAGACATTTTCAGAAATTACAACTTACAGTATCCCTCTATGCCTATAGGTCTTTATTACACAATGTTAGTTATATATGCTATAAAGGGTCCAGGTAACCATTTCCGTATCAGCATTAAAAATTCTTTTCCTCCAAGATGCCCGAGAAAAATAACACTGTATTTTGCACTTTGAAACAAAGTACTAAGCACGTCTTGACAGTTACCTCATTCCTCTTTAAAGTAGTTAAAAAAAAAAAAAAAAACACTGTAGCAAGCTTCATCCCTCATACTAGATATTTGCCATTACTTTGTGGCTGTTAGCCTCAAAACTCATTTTCATGCCAGCTAATAAATATCTAAGAATGAAAATGAGTTATTTCATGTAAGTACTATTGCAGTTTTTATTTTCTTCTCTGCTCCATAAAAACCAACGAGAAGGGCAGATGGGAAGCACCGGTGGGTCACTTTCTCCTCAGGAAAGGCTTTCAGAGTATCCTACATGTTACACGCAGCTGCTACTGACTGGAGAGCAAGTCTGGTATTCCAGCAAGGAGTGATCTGGTGCTTAAGAGAACCCAGCAGATCGGGAGTGAGAGAAGAGGGGCGCGCAGACAAGCCAGGAGTGCAGCCTGCCACCTGCCCACACAAACCACTAGCGACTTGTTTCTAATATACATAAGAGAATGCAATGAAAGTCTTTTGTCTTTAGCACCTAAAATCTCATCACCTTCCCCACATTGACAGAGATTAACTAAGTGGATAACTGTTTTAAAACAGATTACATGATATCTGGAGACCTTATGTCATAGAAAGGGCTGTGTTACTCTCAGATTAGTCTTGGGTACGAAGGTCACCACACAGTGTAATACCTTGTATGCCTGAAGATCACAGAAGGCTCTAGCAGCTAAAGTACCTGCTGAGCTAGTAAAAAATCTTATCCAGACATGAAACTTATTGCAAGGCCTTTCCCTAGGCCAAAAATAGAAGGCAAAGCATTAACTTTATTGATCATAGCAGTTCTGTGACAAACCCAGATTAGAGTTCAGGTGATTTCCTGAAACACATCCAATGTAGAAATTTAAGATGTGAAAAATCTATGTTTTAACATGGCAAGAAAACTTAATTTTTATTAATTGCCATTCAGCAAATTCAGGTGCAGATTTTAGTAATCGTTAGATTGAAAAAATTATATTGATGATGAAAACAGAATACACTTTAGTGAATTTCAGCCAATCTTACAAGGCACAGAGCAGAACTAACTGAACTTACAGCTCCTTCAGCTGGGCCTGGGCAAACGCGTTTTCTTGGATGGACATTACTGCATTGTTGCTCAAGTCCCTATAAGTTAAGCAAAGAGAAACACAATGCAGTAACTTGACTTCATATACCACCAACAGACAGATTCGTGCAAGTCAGAAGAAATACAAAATTGAAGGACATAACTAGAAGCTCTACGAAACAAAGTACTTACAAATGTTCGAGTCCTTCAAGGCCAGAGAATGCCTTCTTCGTAACTGACTTAATCTGGTTTCCTTGCAAGATTCTGAAAGACAAGCCCCCAAGCCCAGAAAACAAACTGGATGTCAATATGAGCTCAAGAATAAGTTGAATAACTTTTAAAATTATAGCTGAGCTATAAAATCAAATACTATTTTTTGAGTTAACAGGCCCCAAAACATACTCATAAGAACAAGTTTCCTTTTCCCTTCTTTATGGATTTAGGTTAGAGATAGGCTAAAGGATCAATTTATGCTAGCAGAACAAACAATTGATAGGTGGTCCTGCCAGGTGATCCAGATGTACTGGACATGGATCTATATGGAGAGGTCCAGCACAGAAGGGGTAACCCACCAAATACAACAACTTGCTTTCCCTCCACTTCTCCTTGCCTAGGAAATACTGTCATTTCAGTGATGTACAATACGTACAGTTTATCAAGCCTGCCGAGTCCTGCGAAGGCTTCATTTGCATCTTCTATGGCCCAGGAGATCTCATTGTTCCGCAAATCCCTGTAGAAGCAGAAGAGGCTTCTTAAAAGCTCTGGAACATCATCACACCCAGTGCTAACCAGGGAAGGGACGTTCTTGCTCCTTGTGCCTAGTATGGTGCTCTGGCTCAAACCTTCATACAGCCCAGCTCATCAGAAGATTAATATTCCATTTTAGGAAGGCAAGGGAGAACGGAACTGTTCAAAATCCGTGCTTCAGACAGAACCACAAACAAACCCTGCAGAACAACGTCTTGATGTGGTATTTAAGGAAAGGCCCAGCCCGAACAGAAACCGTCATGTGACGGACTATTTACCAGAAGCTGGGGAGACTCCCGAAGCAAGTTGGTTCACGTAAGTGAATTAACCAATATAGCAGCAGCACTAATCTTCCCGAGTAACAGGCTTTTAACAGCATTAGCATATTAAGAGATTACACACAGGTTATAGTGCAAGGCTGCCAGGCACAGAGTAGTAGATTTTCAGAATGAAGTTGTTATTCTGCTCACCAATCTCGCTACCAGCTAATGGGATTTCTGTCTGACCTCTGTACAGCACTTCTGCCCCTCGCACAGAACAGCAGACTAAACAGTAAAAGCAATATAGCAATAGGTTTGGAAAGTCAGGATTTGGAGAGATCTCTCAAATGCAGCAGCATTTTCAGCCTAAAATGTATAAATTGAACAACAAGTTTTCACCTTACTACTATCATGCATAGCAGTATTTGCAAACATCAGTGCATTTAGAGGAAGATACATCAATGAAAAATAAGATACACTGCATTTTAGTAGATATTACATTTATCAGCCCGATAGAGCTGCCAAGTAAGTCAACTGCCACAGAAAGCTATCTGTGCATACCGAGAGTTGTAGATATCTCTCACAAATCCTTTTTTCCCTTGTGCTAATGATGGAAGAATGCAGTATCTGCTTCCCCCGGGTGAGATTAGAAATGGCATGGATTCCTATCCCAGAAGACATCAGAAATCAACCTCCAGGATGCCCTCAGTGGTAATGCATCTTTTTCTTGTTTTTCTTACTTTGAAATACAAAAGTCTCCTCTTAATGCCCTGTAGCAGTCGCTTCCACAATTAAGATATGTACTTTAAAATTCAGGACAAATAAAGAAAACAGTGCTTGTAACTCCATTATCTGTATGTCATTTACATAAATTTAGTCAACACGGTGTTTACATTTACTCACACTAAGTATTTTCAACTTGAATAATGTTTCAATGATAAGATACTCAACATAGATAAGATCTAATAAGAAGAGTAACCAGATGAGTAATATGCCAAATTTACTTCCAGACTGCTAAAACTCTGGACTATAAACTAGTTTCTAGAATTCTCTCCAAAATTTTTTATTATAAATACTGGAGTGGTATCAAATGCTGAGTTAACCACAAAGTATACAGAAAAATCACACATGAAGTAAACATGGTGATAAGATTTTAAACTTCAAAGTGTCAGTGCTGTTCTTAGATACACCTTTAATCCCACTTTGCTCTGACTAGCTCCTAACTTATATGCACAGTTTCTACAGCAGCTTGCTCTGGTTCTGCTTTAAAGCCGCTTTGCAGAATCGTGGCAAGAACTGAAGAGAGACAAACAATTATGTGAGATGCCTTAATACTGAATCAACCAGAACTGTAGTAGAGACAACAATGGAAGCAAGCTGACAGCTACACAAAGTATCCTGGTGTCTGAAGGACTTATACGCTCACACTATTCATGGCACTCAGCAGAAAGCGTGAGCAACCCAGAGCAAAGCCCCTCATTGTGCGAGAAAGGAGCTGCTCCTCACGCTCAGCTGCGCTCCAATGCCGGCCCGTTAATCACCGCTGCCCCCGCTCCTGCTCGCTGCCCCTCCGGAGCAGCCGGCCCGCTCTCAGCTGTCTGACGCCCCTGAAGAGCCCGGCAAAAGCTACTAATTAATCTGCTCTTGTTCTTTGTCATGCTGCTCTAAATCTAAGAAATCAGTTTTAATTATTTCATTAAAAGGTTGCATTAAGGTTAACAGAATATGACTGCTTACATAAGTCTCTCTGGTGAGTTTGCTTATTTAAGCATTTATTTAATGAACTGATTTAGGGGTTATAAACTTTCACTCCTTTCTCAACTACCATGGTTTAGGATGATTACAAGTGCTCAGATCTGCTTGGCATTTTTTTTTTTCTTTCTTTTTTTAAATTAAAAAAAAAAAAGATAGATTCTTGTCCTGTGAGACATATTGAACAGGGTACAACTGCTGGCAAAGGTCTTGGCAAACGCAGAGCTGACCCTCTGATAGCAAGAGGTCCCCCTACACCTTTGTTCTATGCTGCGCCTGTGGCTTCAGCATGCGAAGCTGCACCTTCCAATTTGCAGGATTCAGTTTGGCTTCTTAGGTTCCAACCCTATTGCAACCATTAGGGAGAAAGTGAGGTCTGTACTGAAAATTCATCCCACTGCTTGCATGTACTGGAGCTGCCAATCCCTGCCTTCTCAGAACTGGCATGGCATGCAGCTGGACACTCAAGGTCATCAAGGCACTGTTTTACATCACCATTAAAATTATGAGATGGTTTGTTTCAGCTACACCAGGATTTTTGTAGACCAAAAATAATCAGCACTGCCACATCTGAAGGCAGGACAGCAATACAGCAAGTGCCAAAACACCAATCTTTAATATTCATTGTTTTAACTGCCAAAAGCTTCAGAGTATTGAATCAAGTGGAGTTTTAAATAGAAGTTTTCTGTACTTACAAGGTTCGAAGGTTTGTCAGCCCCCTGAACACACCATCAGCAATGTGACTAACTCGGTTGTCACCCAGGTTTAGCTTCTCCAATAAACCAAGTCCCACAAAGGCAGATTCCTTGAGGCGAGTCAGCTGGTTGTAGGACAAGTCTCTATAGAAATTGAGCAAACGCTTTAAAGGCAAGTGAGGGGGATTAACTACAAAGACACTATCAAACAGCAACTCCTAATTAATTTCTAACAGAAGACTTATTATATAAAAAAAAAAAAAAAAGTAAAACAGACAGCATCACCATAGGCTTGACAAGTTAACTGAGCACTTTCTTCAGTAATTCGTTCTTCCTATATATGTGCTCTCTAATCGGTTACTTGTAATGTTACAAAATCCCCACTGCAATTCAACCCAGGACTTACAGTTCTGAAAGTCTTTGGCAGAACTCCCATGCATCTGGGCTGATCCTGTTAATGGCATTCTGGCTAACGTAGAGTTGCTGCAATGTCCGTAGACCATACAGCCAGCCCTTGTTTACTTCTGTTAAGTTATTATGTTCCAGTTCTCTAAGGAATTAGAGGGAAAAATATTTGCCAAATAGAAAATCAATGCAACACACATTTACAGCATCTCACCTTGTTGATCTCAACATGATTTAGTAACATTAAATCCAACAGAATCTGAAATGCACGATTATATTAATTTTACAGGACCCAAACAAATGACCAAAACTGTACAAAAAGAAAGCAACACAGGCATGGCTGCACTGATCCAGTAGCAGAACTGAAAACACGGCCACTTATTCTCAAATGTAAATACTCCAGTTCTGAAAGATTATTTATTTAAACAAAAGAAAAAGAACACCTTTTGCCAAGAGTGCGTGGCACACGCCTGCACCACGTCAGGGTCACACAACAAAGAAATTCTATGACTAGGCACACTTACAGTTCTTCTATACTATTCAGGCCAAAGAATGCTCCATCCATCAGTCTGCTAATCCCATTGCGCTGCATTTTTAGTGATTTTAAGGACTCCAAGCCTTGGAATGTAAGACTTTCCACTATTTTAATACGGTTCCTTTTCAGTTCCCTTAAATAATATAAAGTTGACAAATATTAAGACATCTTTTGATAAGCAACGCTGTGACTATCAAAACGAGAAGGCAAGGTAACATCCATACAAAGGTTATCTTTTTAAGCTTCCAAAAAGGTTACTTACAGAAACTGCACATGAGGTAATTTGAAGATCTTTGGTGGAATCACACTAATTCTATTTCTGTTTAGCTTTACCACCACTAGAGAGTTAGATAAGTTATCAAGACAGCCTGCTTCTAGGGTAGTTATTCTGTTGTTGCTTAGATTCCTAGGAAAACAGGAGGAAAAGAAGCTTTTCAGAACATAGAGAATATCAGCAAGATGACACAAGAACTACAACAAGAAACTAGCTATTACTACTCAAGTTCTGTGTGAAGCTGCATCAGAAATCTGAATTCTGGTACCCTGAATAAATCATTTTTCCCTAGAGGAATCATTGGTAGGAGCCGCGTTCCCTGCGTGCCCATGCTTCCATTAGGCATGGCTAAGACAACGTCAACAGTGATCTACTCAATATAAGCTAAATAAATAAATAAATCACTGTATGTCCCTGCTGGCTGAAATACCAGCACTTTGACAGCAGCACTCAAGTGATTTTCAGCACTGAGAAAACATCGTGCAGACTTGGTATAAGGGGTATTTTATTCTAAGCACATTTGCAGCTACAGTGAGCACTGCTACCAGTTCAAAGCCCTGCAGCAAACCCTGTAATAAATATCTCACAGTAGCTGACATCTTCGACGCTACTGCTCTGGGGCTAGGAGCCCCAGGCCTGAGACCACTCGTACTTACAGGTACTTCAGCTGCATCCTCGGGAAAGAAGAAGTTTTAATTTCTGAGATCAGGTTAGAGCTAAGATCTAGATTCTCCAAAGAAAGGTAAACTTGCAGCTGCTCAGCATTTATTTCTGGGATTATGTTGTGTACCCTGAAAAAATACCAGCAAAGATGATCATCAAAACAGCCCATCCTTCAATTTCACATCTAAAACATTAGACATCTAAAGCATTAACATTTTTAGTGAGTTTCTTGAATGGGAAAGGCAGCACATACTTCAGTATTAATACATAAAGCAATACTCAAAACCCAAGACTGTCTTGACATACGAATAGATGCAAGTTCTGGGGCCTGTAATTGGGCTGTTCCTCCTGGAAACTGTCATTCCTCGGCCATCTCCCTCCCCTTCCAAGCTGCCTGCCTTGGTTGGCTGCATTTTATTGGTAACATAAAGGGACTTGATTGTCCAACAGATCTGCATTTCTTTTAAGGGTGCTTATGTATTCCCCAAAGCCCTTTAGACAAACACTGCTCTGAGACAAATAAGTTATGCTTCCCTGCAGCTTGATAGCAGAATTCTAATATCACCCCCTTGTCAAGGAACAAAGGCAGAAAAGGGCAGACAAACTGTTGCTTACAGCGAGAGAAGAGTTATATTAGAAGTTGTTTCTCCAAAGTATGGAATTTCGCTTAGCTCATTGTAATTCATCTTCCTAAAAATAAAAGATAATAATTCTTTATTGACCTTCCAAAGAGAACAACTATTCCACAAAGCAGAATTAACTCATATCATAACTTTCAAAAGTTTTATGTTAGTTACATAATAGTTGAAAATCAGATTCCTTAAAAGCTTGTTTAAATATCGATTTTAAATTTTTTACATTACAGCTCACTACTTTTAATTTTTAAAAATGGTTACCGTTACTTCTGTTTAAAATAGAATTAGCCATAGTCTAAGCCATCAGAAATCCCATTTCTCTTTTAAAATAGTTTTCTATCAGAAAGCTTTCTGCATACAGAATATCAGAGGTTCAGATAAAATACAACATAGCACATGCATTTTTGGTTTATCAACCTTGGCTATTTCTTCAAATCACACCAGATACCTGGGCACACATTAAAAGTCAAAACTTTGAAGTTTACTAAGTAGAAGCTTTGAGGTCTTTACTATTGACTTTATGACAAACAGTAACTTACACTTCTTGTAGCGTGTGAACAGATAAATCAATGCTCCAGTTAGATGATAATAAATGATTATGACTTAAATCTCTAGAGAACAAAGAAATAAAGAATTATTCTGTACTTTGTACAACTGTATTTTATTATTTATGCTCAGAAAGATTATTAAATATTGACATCCTTCTTTGCAGGGCTTACAGGGCATCAGTGGAGAACAACTTACAACAAACTGGGCTCAGGCCATTAGAAACCCTGGAAATTCACTGTTGTCACAGGAATATGTGCTCATTTCCACGAAGTGTTAAGCTGGGCACTTTTCATTGAAACTCTTCATCATTATTTCTGTATACCCAGGACCACTAGAGCTTGCAGACAAAGTGGTGCATCTCTCCAGTCCCTTCATTTGCTCTCCCTCAATGGCTCAAGAAGCAAATGCAAAGCTCAAATCAACTCCCAGGCTGAAGAACACCAGAAACATCAAGTTTTGTTTGCTTCCTACTCTTACTGCAGAATTGCAGTCTACAATTAGAATCAGGGGCACAAAAGCAAAGCCAGGTTTTATCCAAGTTTAACCAGCTTTTACGCATCACGGGCTGCTTCGACGGGGCGTCCAGCGCAAGCTCAGCGCTGGCGCGGCTCGCTGCGCCCGGGTGCCCAGAGCCGCGGCAGAGGCTGCCCCG